GCGGCCCTGGGCTCCACGCTCGGGGCCGTGTCCCCGCAGCGAGCGCGTCGTCCCGGGCAGAGCCGGCGCCGGGGGGTATTTGCCTGGTTCTCCGAGGTGCAGCAGTCCCCCTGGGGCCGTCACCCCCGAGCTCTGCTCTAGCTTTTAGGAGCGGCAGCTGCTCTTCCTCCACTCCTTGGATTATTAATGGGGATGAAGAGTTCTCGGCTCTGAGGGCCCCGGGGATCTTGCTGCAGGGGAAAACCTTGGGATTTGCGTGTTGCTTTTTTTCAACCAGGGACCTTGACTTAACAACTGGAGTAACCGAAGTCTTAATTAACGCTGCTAATGGGCTGCACAAAGCCCTTCTCAGGGGAATCTCCTCCTTTGAAAGCGAGGCGTAATTTAGGCTCACATTCCTTGATGTGCAGAATAAGCTGCGCTTCTCCTAACCTGCTTTTCTCTGTGTGTTGTCTCCTTTGCTGCAGATACTGCGAGAGTCGACGAAGGGTTTTGTTGCAGCATGTGCATGAAGGCTACGAGAAGGACCTGTGGGAGTACATTGAGGACTGAGGCTGGCGCTGCATAAAACGAACTCTGAAACCTTTCCCATCTAGAGTGCTCATGCGATTAAAACAAAATACACACACAAGGCACTACGCCTCTTACACTGCTGGTCTGTAGTACCGGGATTCTGTTTTGTTAACAGAAACTTTAAGTAAATTATATTGTAATAAAAAAAGGTAGATAAACCATTGTACAACAGTATTCTAGACGGCCAATAAGAGTGTGACAGACGCACTAAAAAAAAAGAAAACCCTCCAACTTTAACTTGTAACGTAGCTTTATTCTCCAAGCCGACTCCTTTTTCTTTTCTATCTTTCTTTTCCTGTGTGTAGTACAGATGAAATTTAAACCAGTTTCTTGACACTGCTTTTCATGTCCAAACCAGCCATTTTGATGTACTTTGGTAAATGGGGGGGGAACGTGTCTCTGCCTCCTTCCCCCCTTCTCCTCTCTGCCCCCCAAGTACATGGATGAATGTGGATTGGCTCATTGTAAAGGTGATTTTTTTGGGGAGGGGAGGAGGGGGGTACACAGCAAGGAAAATAAATAAATAAAAAAAACTTTGTATATGACTTTTAAAACAAAAAGAGGACAACACAGTATTTTTCAAAGTTGTATATAGCGCATATGCATGGACAAAGAGCAAGCGTGGCACGTGTTTGCATAATGTTTAATTACAAAAAAAAATATTTATTCTTTAAAAATCTTCAAGATTATGTCTATTTGCTGTGCATTTTCTTTCAGTTTGATTTTTTGTTTGTTTGTTTTGTTTTTCTCCCGGGGATGGGATGGGGGAAGCGTGTGCTGGTGTAGTGATTTTTTTTTTTTTTTTAGGATGTTTTGTTTTGTTTTGTTTTTGGTTTTTTTTTCGAGGGCTGTTACCAGAGAAGTTGGGTTTCTCCTCTTCCTGCAGCCTTCTGCCTCTGGCCTCTGTGGTTTTGTGCATATCCATTGCCCCCTCTCCTCCCTTCCAGCTCCTGATGCTCCTAAAGCCCGTGTGCGTTGCGTTCGTGACGGATGTACATTGTGACTCAGGAGGCTTTGCCTTTTTTTCTATTTTTTTGTTTGTTTTGTTTTGCCCACATACCTCTTTACCTGCCCCAGCCAAGCTCAGCTCTTCCCACGCACGCAGGACACGCGCTCTGAACCTCTAGGAAGTGTATGCTTAGGCATTTCTTGTTTTTCTTTATTTTTTATTCCGAGGCAGGAAAAGGAGGGTTATTTCCCACCACTTCTCAAGAGGCTATTGAAAGGTTTCAGCTGTGGATCTCCTCTCCCTCCCCTTTCATCTGTTGAACAGAGCATTCCTTGCTGTCAAGTTTCACTTACATTATAACAAGTCGTAACATTGAAGAAGGAAAGATGACGGAATTGTCTTTGTGTTTGTTTGGGGCTCAATTCTTGGGCGTACTGTCCTGGCAAATATTTAACACTCCAGCTAGTGCCGTAGAAACTGAAATCAGTGGGGGA